TGAGTTCTTGTCCAGAGACGTGGGGGAAAAATCTGCTTCCGAGCTCATTCTTGCTGTTGGCAGAATCATATCCTTGTGGTTGTGGGACTGATGTTCCTGTTTCCCTGCTGGCGTCGCCTGAGGGACAGTCTTAACTCCTGAGTGTCCTTTGCCACTTGGCCCTCCCCATCTTCCAGTCAGCAATGGTCCATCAGATCTTTATCATTCTTTGAATCTATGAATTCCTTTTCTTCCATCAGCTGGAGAAAACTCCTTGCTTTTTTCTTTTTTAAATATTTATTTATTTATTTTAGAGAGAGAGAGTGTGTGCCCCAGCAAAAGGAATGGTGGAGGGAGAGGGAGAGAGAGAGAATCCTCAAGCGGATTCCCTGCTGAGCATGGAGCTCAATCTTAGGACCCTAAGATCATGAACTGAGTTGAACACTCAACCGACTGAGCCACCCAGGCACCCCAAAACATCCCCCCCTTTTAAAGGGCTCCTGTGAGGGGCATCTGGGTGGCTCAGTGGTTGAGCATCTGCCTCAGCTCAGGGCACCATCCTGGGGTTCTGGGATTGAGTCCCACATCACACTCCTCATGGGGAGCCTGCTTCTCCCTCTGCCTATGTCTCTGCCTCTCTCTCTGTGTCTCTCATGAATAAATCAATAAAATCTTAAAAAAATAAAAAATAAAATTAAAAGCCCCTGTGATTAGGTCAGACATACCTGGATAATGTCTCTATCTCAAGGTCAACTCATCTGGGAGTTTAATGACATCTGTAAGATCCCTTTATAGCAGTACCTAGGTTAGAATTTGGTTGAATAATGAGGAGAAAGTGTGTGTACACAGGGCTGGGAATCTAATGGGGCCATCTTGGAATTTTGTCTACCACATGCCCCTACTTCTAAGGAAACTATAAAGCCCAAGTTAGCAAATGTATGGGAGGTAACTGGACCAGGTCAAGCATGTTTCTGGTAGGGGGATTTGCATGCAAATAATTAGCCGGTTGAGTTCCCAGGACTGTTGAGAACTTTGGACGATGAAAGGAGGTGTTTGGGGTTGGGACTAAGGGAACCACTGACAAACATGCCTCCAGTGCTTGGCCGTGGGACTTCATTCTGATATCACTGGACACAGGAAGTGCCTGTCTTCCTTGGATGGACATCACTACTACCCTCCCTGATGTAAGTCTTTGCTGCAATAATGGTGGTAAAGACTGGGTTCTGGAATGACAGAGAAGAAGGGCCCCCCCAAAGGCCTCTGGATCAACCCTCTCAGAAACCATCTGTTTGGAGTTGTGGCTCAGAGAAGAGTGCAGAGGTTTCTTCCAGCTACAAGTCCAGGGATGCAGAAACCGCTAAAATAATAGCTGTTCCCAGATCAGCCAAGCAAAGCTCTAATTGGAAGAGAAAAATGGGAGTTAGGATTCCCACTCCCTCTGCTAAGCACACATGGGTCTGGTCAAGGTCCATCTGCAGATTGAAGGAGGCCATTTCCTTTCTTAGCCTAGCATCCCGGGCCAAAGAATCCGACAAGGGGCCAAGGCCCTGGTGACTCTGGGAGAAAGGCAAGTGGCCTCCATCCAGGAGGGAGAACCTGGACGCTGATCTGCCTTGCGAGCTGAACTGCTTGCTCCCAGTCTATGCTCCACATGGTCTGGGACCAGCATGGGACCAACAGGAAAGAGGCAAAGAGGTACAGGTGCAGGGAGACGGAGGGGGTGAGAAGAAAGAGATTGTATTGTTCATTCCATAGATGCCATGGTGGGAAGAAGCTTTGCCTTCAGAACCTCCCAGACCAGACAGTTCTCGTTTCCAGCTGACTTCTTTTCATCTCTCCCGCAACTTCTCCACTGCCCCCCACCCCTCCTGTCCCTGCCTCTGCTGCTGGATCTTCTCAAAGCTTCCCCGGAAAAAACTTGAGCCAATTTACTCCCCTTAAACAACTGTCACTTTTGAAAAGCTGCCCAGTCTCTTTGCTGTGATTTTCAAAGAGCAACTCAGGGCTCGGCTTGCTTTCGGTGACAGCAAGGAGGTAGGAGGAGAGGGAAAGACAGGTGCTTCCTGTCTCTGGGCTGGTGGGAAAAACACAGATACACACACATACATGCTCCTGAGAAATGTTGAAGCTATAATTGTAGGAAAATACAACCTTCCTGATACCCGAGGAAATGTCAAGGAAGAAAAGCAGAGAGTGTGTGTGCTAGCTGCTGGAGTTTCGACACCAGGGGGGGATGACCCTGTTTGACCTTGCCTATCAAGACCAGAGGGTTACAGAGGAGCCAACGAAAGATAAGAGGGCAAAGGGCCAGGCCAAGCTGGACCACTTCTGACATGTCAAAGGACAGATGTTGGGCGGCCTGTGGGCAGAGAAGAAACCCAGCCCACAAACCCAGGGGAGGTTTCTAGGAGGTAGAGAATAGCAACAAGGTGAGCAGCTACCTGTGCTCCAGGTAAGCCCCTGCTTCCCATTATTACTTTGAAAGGAAAAGGCCTCATCTGGCTGGTTGGTTTATGGCCTGAAGTCCTGCAGTCTACACCCTCCCCTCGCTCCTTCTGCTGTCTCCTTTTCACTATTCAAGACAGGTGCCAAACATGTCATCACGCCTGATGGAGCCTGGCATTGTCTCGCTCGCTGCGATCAGCGACCAACAACCTGACAGAAACACTTCCCTGATTGCATTTTTAACTCGGACGGTGCCACACTTGGTTACGTCTTGAGGGAGGAAGGAAGAGGACGCGAGGGAAAAACAGTGGGTTGAGGAAGTACGCAGACGTGGCCGAGTGTCAGAGAGCACTAGACAGTCCACACGACACATGATGCATCTTTCGCATTTCAACTTCGCCCAACATTGACCTACAATGAGCAAATATTGATCCCAAACCAGAAATGTCCCAAATCAATGTCCAAGCTCCATCTTCCACTGAAATCAGAAAGGAATGTGCTGGGGTGGGGGTTGGGGGGAGAAACTAGGTCATTACCTACCTTTTATTGGTCACGAGCTCACGTGGTAGAAAGCTACCTTCCAACTTCAAACCATTACTTATTAGTGTGGTGGTTAAAAAAAAAATTTACTCAAATTGATGGTCTCTTCTGGGCGAGTGGTGAAGAATGCTGATTTGGCTTAGCTCACTCCCTGAAACTCCCCTGGTGGGGCCGATGGCTTGCCGCTACGATTATTTTCGATAACACTTAACGTTAGGTAATTATTGGCATGATGGCAACCGTATAGGTGTATAAATGTCTAGTTTTTCAACATTGGCTGGGTTGCGGCTGCAAACAAGGAGGGCTCGTCCGTGCAAGAGATACACAATTAGTAAGGTCATTCCCTATTTCTTCCTTCGCTGTCGGTTCTAATTATTTGTCTGCACAGAACTCTGGAGGCTTCCCTGGCCCAGAGTAGCCGCAGTAGCACATAGTGGCAGATGTGTGGGCTTCATCGATGCCTCCCTGCGCTGAATATTCACCAGGGCACCACCTCGCTTCAGGTAACGAGTGACTTACCTGTGACCATAGAACTCTGGGCGTGATTCACATTCACACTGGCTAATGAGCCTTCCATGTTCCGTCTTTAACCCTGACATAGGTAACAACACCTACACTAGGTAGCATCATCCTGCTGACGTTCACCATACAGGTGGGGTGGGGGTAGGTGTTCTCTGCGTCCGAGGTCAAGTTTCAACACCCGAGAGTGCAGCTTACTCGCCTGTTACAGCCCCCAAACCCCACTCGGGACCTCAAGTATCCAAAGGGAGAGGAAAATACAATATCACAAATGTCACAGTCAACCAACCGCGCCAAACTACGCTGTCGCCTCTGAACACAGCAACGTGAGCAGCCCCCACTGGCCCTCTGTGAAATGACCAAAATCATTTCTGGGCAGTGACATGGGTTTTTGTGACACAGAATGGTGCAGAAATCAAGCTCAAGATCGACTGTAGGACACGCTGGTGAGAAAGATTTTTGCTTTTCTGCCAAAACATCCCCCCCCCCCCCCGGACTTTCCTTCAGGACCAAGGTTGACCTTAAGAAGTTGAAGGCCGCACAAATGTGAATGCGTGAATGCTGATCTACATTTACAAAAGCAAGTGACTTTGCTCCACAGTCCCCTCATTCTCGAACCTTCAACAGAGGCGCAGACAATTTTCTAAGGGCAAAACTTCCTAGTCCATTGATCCCGACGCCCGCGTTATTGGTGAAATCAAGGTAATGCTGAAAAATGACAGCGTCTGAGAAGCCGTCTCAAACTGCTTTGTTATGCCACGCAATTAGCAATGCACTGGAGAGCCACCTCCTTTCTAACTTAAAGCCATCGGCCACCGAGCTGCAATCGAAATCCACCACAGTGGGTTTCAGCCAATAGCTCCCCATTTGGACCCTTCCCCGCCCCCCCAAAGTCCTCCCCCTCTCAAGCCACAGCCGGTCTCAGCACTGCAGAATAATGAGCAAACAGTTAAATTGGGCTAGCACTGAGTCTCCACCGAGATTTATGGTCTACCCATCCTCCGCAGGGACTCTAAAACCATCCGATGACATCTCATTTTGAAATCTCTTGTATTATTAAGAAAAGTGATGGGTGTGGTGCAAAAATGAACTCTGGATGTGAGTGATATTTAGACAAGTCTGTACTTCAAAACAGAATTCTAGCTCATGTGAAGGTCTCTGTCATTCGCTGGGGAATATCAGTATTGACTATTCCCTGGTCTCCAAACCACCCCCCTTCCCACCCTTTTTCCAAGATACCTTCTTCATTGAATCCTAAATAGGTTGGGTCTTTTTCTGCTCCCCCCCCCACTCGCCTCCCCCCCTCTACATTTTGCTTTGGATCTTAAAAATTCCCAGGTGGATTTTTATCTCCTCTGTGAAAGCATCAATCGTCAGCTCCAAATCAGCCCCAATTACCACAACACTAACTAAAACCACCTTCAAAGTTAGAGCATCGGCCAGGGGGACAGCCACGGTTTAAATAGAACGGGGTGGGGGTGGGGGTAGGGGTGGGGGTGGGGAGAGGAACGACTTACCCTCTGCCCCAGCTGACCTCCTGTGATCTCTGACCTGGGCAGAGGAGTAAGTCAGGAGAATGAGCTGGGTTTCCAGGGGAGCAGCATTGCTTTCTGGAAGGCACCCAGGTCCCAAGCTAAGTGCGGAACTGAAACCGGCTCTGGAGCTGGGCTGTTTGGGAACGCGCTCCGCAACCACCCAGGTCCCACGTGGGGACGAGGAGAAAGGGGAGGGGGCAGCGGCGCCGGGAACAGAAGTGGGGCTAAGGAGCGGACTGGGGGCTCCGGGGGGTGGGGGGGGGGTTGGCCGGGGAAGTTCTTGGCGGTGCTACCCGCACAGAAACTTTTTCTCCCGCTGAGATGCGCTCGGGGCCGAACGCTGCGGTGCGCGGCCGCTGGTGGGGGCCGGGGCCGGGCCGGGGCCGGGGTGGGGACCGGGCGCGGCGGGGTGCTCACCTGTTCCAGCGCGCCACCTTCCTCCGGTAGTACCGCAGCGCCTCCTGGCTGGCCAGGAGCGGGTCCTCCGGCCCGGGGAGCGGCGGCTCCTCCGGGTCGCGGTACAGCGGGTGGGCGAAGAGGGCCTGCAGCTTGGAGCCGCCGCCGCCCCGCCGCTCGGTCCCGGGCCCCGCTCGGGAAAAGTTGCGCGCGGCCGCGCGGGGGGCCGGGGAGGCGGGCGCCGGGGCCGGGGCCGGGGCCGGGGCCGGGGTCGCGGCGCGGCGGGCGCACGGGCAGCCGGGCGGGTGCTCCCGGGGCCGCAGCTGGCGCCGCACCTGGGGCCAGAGGTGGAAGTAGAGGTCGGCGGTCAGCAGCGCGCCCAGCAGCAGCAGGGTCAGCAGGCGGTCCCGGCGCAGCCCGGGCATGGCCCCGCCGGGGCGCGCGCGCGTCTCCGAGGACCCGGGAGGGCGCCGGGCGCAGAGGGCCGGCCGGGGGCGCGCCGTCCCCCCCCCTTGAGGGGTGTCGCCCCTGAACCCGGGGACCCGCGGCGCAGGGCTGGGGGGTGCTCGCGGCGGTGGCGGGCGTCCCTTCTCCGCGCGGAGGGGAGACCCCCGGCCGGTGCCTCCCGGGCCCTGCCTCCCGCACCTGGTGCCCCCGCGCCGCCCGCCAGGAGCCCGCCGCAGGGAAGGGCCGGGGGCGCGGGTGCCTGCTGCCCCCCCCGCGGGCGCTGGGGCGGCGGGGGCGGGCGCGCGGGGAGCGGGCGGGGGAAGGCGGCCGCGGAGCCTGGGGCGTCTGTCCAGAGGATGCTGTCGCTGGGCGGCGGCGGCGACCGCGGCCGCGGCTCCTCCTGCGGGTGGCGGGGACGCCCGGGCCCCCCGGCTGCTCGGGGCGAGCTCTTCTGCGCGCCCGACTCCTGGAGGCAGAGGTGACGCCGGGCCTCCCCCGCCTGGCCCCGCGCCCGCCCCTCCGCCCACTCGCAGCTGGCACCTGCCTCTGGCGCAAGCTCGCCAGCCAACTCCCGGGGCCGCTGCGGGCTCTGCCCCTGCACCTTGTCACCCGGGCCGCTCGGCGCGCCCATCCCCCTCGCCCCAGGCCTCCCGCTCGCGGGGCTCAGTCCCAGCACTGGGGGGTGGGGGGGGGTGGGCGCGGGCGGGGGGACTCAGGGCGTGTGCGTGCCCGTGCGCGTGTGTGCGCCTGTGTATGTGCCACCTCTTATTCTCATTCTCCTCTTTTTTAGAAAAAAGACAGTTCCCCCGAAAGTCTTTCTTTTGTAAGATTTGCCAGATGTGTGTGTGTGTGTGTGTGTGTGTTGTCTTTCCCGTCCTCCTCCCTTGCCCCCCGGGGCACACACCAGGTCCACAGCCACTACCTGCCCCGCGCGCCTGGCACCCAGTGGGCGCCGAGGAAACACCCGCTTAAGGAATAAAAAAGTTTGTCCTTTAAAAGGAAGGCCCCGACTTTACCTAGAATGTTGGTGATTTCCTGTTTGGATGGAGTTTGGTTCCAACTGTGCTTGCCCTTTTACAAAGAGGAAATTTCTCCCGCACTCGAGGAGGGAGGGGCCTCCCAATCACCCGACTCTGAACTTTTGCATTTAGTTTGGTGGGAAAGTAGTCCACCCAAATGAATCACGGGAGGACACATGCTAGACTTTCTCCGGGTAGCTTGTGAAGTCGCTTATACTCCCCCACCTTATTTCCCTTTGGGGGAAGAGGCAGGCCAGGCCTCAACACCTGGCTCCTCTACCTAAGGGGGGACGGCGGGGGAGGGAAGCGCAGGTCTGGGGAGGGAGGCCGCTCTGCCCTGCTGAGGGTTCAGACCACTGCGTCTTTGCCATGAGCTGCCTGCCCAGACAGTGAAGCTGCCCATGTATGTTAATTGTGCTCTTTAACCGCCCACTTTCCTTGCTGGAGTCAGGAATCCTCAGACACACTTTGGCTTCTGGGTTCAGATCAGAGGTCTCTCCCCTGTGGTTGGGGTGGGAGATTCTTGTGGTCTTTGCCATCCACTCATCTGTTACTGAAGATAATAATAGGACCTACCCCTTAGGGTTATCCGGTGCCTGGAACAGACCCCAGGACGTGGTAAATAATTGTGAAATATGCATTTCCTAGATATATCACAGCTTCTTGGTTTCTGTAGCCCACTGGGTTAAGTTAGATACTATTTATGAGCAGGACAAAAGTGATAAAATCAGACAGGGACCGCTTTCCAGAGCACATCGTGGCCTAAAAGTCCAGTCCAAGAGAGAGACCCCAAGATAATACTCTTGCCATCCACTTCACTCTGCTGGGTCTGGTGGTGGGCTTGTTGGATGGGCTCCTTCTTTTTATCTGGAATCAAATTTTAACTGGTCCTCAGTTTTTTTTTTTTAAGATTTTATTTATTTATTTATTTATTTATTTATTTATTTATTTATTTGAGAGAAGCAGCGGTGGGGGATGGGGCAGAGAGGAGAGGAAGAGCAGAGGGAGAGGAATAAGCAGACTCCTTGCAGAGCCCAACATGGGGCTCGATCTCACGACCCTGAGTTCATGACCTGAGCCAAAATCAAGAGTTGATTGCTCAACTGACTGAGACCCTCAGACACCCCTGATCTCCAATTTCTGAGAAACATTGTAACTTCTGATGTATTAGATTGGGCATCATGGCCACGGGGTGAAGAAGTCAGGCACTGACCAGGGTGCAGGATCTGCACTAGCTCTGTGGCAAACTGGTGTGCATTTTTCTGGGCTGGCAAAGGACATGGACGTGGAGCTATCACTATATCATGACTCAGTTCTCCCCTGCTCATGGGGTCACGCTCCCTTAGTAGACTCTGTTGTATGGGCTCAGTTCAGGGAACAATATTTCTAACTTGATCAGAGATTATCTAAGCACATTTCTCCTGCCCTATTAAGGTCAAGGGTAAAACTGCTTGTGGAAGTCACATGTTAAGTGAATGAGGTTGAGGTGGAGACAGGAAATCCTAGGGGCAGGATTGGCCGGTCAGATGCAGGGCTCATCAATGTCTTCTTCCCCCCTCTCACAAAGGGGCCCTGCCCTTCTGCTCCTGCTCTGTCTCTCCACATGTTGGCCCTGGCTTCATCCTCTACTTAACTTCAATCCACATCCAAGTTATCCCCAACCACTGTTGACCAGAGCCCGAACTTCTGTGTCAAGCCTCCCATTGTGAATCCAGCCCCCACCTTTCCGTTCCCATTGGTCTTGGATGCAGCCAGGGTCTCATCATTTCTTGTTTAGACTCTTGCAAATAGTCTCCTAACTGACCTCTTGGCTTCCAATATAGCCCCATTTTGGTGCCCACCTGTGTTATGACAGAATCAAAACTTTTGCCAGAGTGAACTTTCTAGCATGTAGAAACAACCACGATATCCTCCTGTTGAAAAGCCTCCATGGTTTCTCATTGTGTCTGGGTTAGGCACCTCACTGGGATGTGGCCTTTCGTGGTTTGGCTTCTGTCTCCCCTTCCTGTGTCATCTCCCACTTCTCCTTTGTATGCCACCCAGATTTCACCCCACAATACTTTCTGCAGTTCCCCAAGTGTTTCATGCTCTCGTAGACATACTTTTATTCAAAAGCTCTTTTGCATGTCCCCACCTGGAGAATGTCTATTGTCTGCCCAAGCCTTGGCCACTTGTCTGACTTTCTCTGATGCTTTTCCTCATGCCTGTGAAACGCAGTACAATGTGCTTTCATGTACCCCCATAAGTCTTTGCATACACTCTTATTAGGGCATTAACCAGGCTGTGTTTAGCTGTTTGTATGTTAGAGGTTGAATTATACCCCCCACTCCTGCCAATTTATATGTTGAAATTGTAACCCATAATACCTCTGAATGTGATTTTTTTAAAGATTATTTATTCATGAGACACACACACACACACACACAGAGAGAGAGAGAGAGAGAGAGAGAGAGAGAGGCAGAGACACAGGCAGAGGGAAAAGCAGGTTCCCCATAGGGAACCCATGTGGGACTCCATCCCAGGACCCCGGGATCATGCCCTGAGCCAAAGGCAGACACTCAACCACTGAACCACCCATCTCTCCAAATGTGATCTTATGTAAAAATAGAGTCATTGCAGATGTCATTTAGTTAAAATGAGGTCTTCTTGGAACAGAGGGAGGCCTTAATCCAATATAACTGATGACTCCATAAAGAAGGGAAATTTAGATGCTGAGCCGTGTACACTGGGGAATCTCCACATGAAGATGTGGGCAGAGATCAGGATCATGCTTCTACTAGCCAAAGCTCGCAGTGATGGCCAGCAAGCCCCCAGAAACTAGGTAAGAGGAAGCAGCTGATTCTCCTTCATAGTCCTCGGTGGACACTATCCCTGTCAACACCTTGATCTCAGACTTCTGGCTTCCAGAACCACGAAATAACACACTTCTGTTGTTTGAACCCCCAGTTTCTGGTCCTTTGTGACCACAGCCCTAGACACCAACACAGTCCCCAGGCCTGGCTTCCTCACTCCAGTGCAGAGGCCGAGTGTTACTTATCTCAGGGCCCAAAGCTCTCAGAATAGGGCCTATCACTTGCAGGAGCAGTTGGCACTCAGTGAAGGAAGGGCAATCTTTGAGGGCAGGGATCTCAGGCTGTCTCTGCAACTGTAGGGTGTCACATTGGGCCTGGCACATGGGAGGGGCTTAACCATGAGTTACAATAAAATGACATAGTTTCAGGCCCTGGAGGAGACACAGAAGTATCAGACGTGGTTCCTGCCTTCAAGCATCTTTTATGATTATTGGAGAAAAGGGATCTGTCTGTGCCTACGAGACAGTTGAGGAAAAGTCTGGGGTGATATGCCGGCCAGATTAGGGAATCCGTGCCTCTGCGTGCATTAGGGGAACAAATGCAAAGGGCACTTGTGTTTCCTTTCAGTCTCGCTAAATATCACTCTTTACTTCCAGGAATTAAATCATAAGAACAATGAGTCAATATTTAAACACAAGGGTTCCTCAATCTACAAAGGTTATACTCCATTTTTATCTTGCACATGTCTACGTGTTGCTTAAAACAAAACTAGCTGTTTCTTGTTTGTATGATTGGTTTTCTATGCTAGATTGTAACTCTGAGTACAGGGCCAGAAAGATTTCTTCTTTTTCCTGCTTTTTACAGAATATCGTACATAGCAAGGTGGAGCTGAGAATGAACACATTCCTATGGAATAAATGCTGTCAGTGTACGTGCGTCTAGGTGTGTTCATGCATGGGGTGGAGGGATGGTTAAGAAGTGTATTTAAAGTAAAAATCTGGACTTACAAAATCTGGCCCTAGATAAATGTTAGCTATTATATTTAACTGGAATATCTAAACTTTAGGAATCTTAATGGACCTATTGACAGGGTGAGAGGTAAGAGATATATAATGAACTCTGTGCTAAACGTACTTATCTGTGTCTCTAAGAGTTGTTGTTACCATACAGATGTGTATGGGCCCTGTTGCTGTTAATTTCTAGCTGTCTCAACTATCCCTGAGAGAGGAAGAAGGCCGTCAGAGTACTGTGAACGATAGATCCCGAATGCAGCGAGATTAAGGATTGATTTGGTGTCATACCCAGTCTCTCCTTTTATTCTGGGCTAGAAAGAACAGACCTTTCTTTTCATGACCAAGACATAATGCTTTAATCTAGGCCAGCCAGACATTTCTCCAAGCATAGTCTATGCATCAAAATTACCTGGGGGCATTTACAGAAATGCAAACTCTAGGGTCACACACTAGATCCAGTGAATCAGAATCTTTGGAAGTGGGCCCAGGAATGTGCAATTTCAGTAAACGGATTCTTACCAGCTTATAAGATTCTGTGTACCCTGTGGTCCAATTCTGATACGCACTGAAGTTGGGAAATCATTGGTTGAGAGGATAGTGCTAATGATAACAGTCATAGATTTGATTCCAAATGCC